CTTTGTTGTTAATTCGTTAGTTAGATTAGCCGCTAGCATACGCACTGTGTTGGAGGCTTGTTGCTAGCTTTTCGTTTTTCGTTTCTCTGTGGAATATGTTGAGCAAACCTGTGGAAGCTTCAGCTCAGGAAAATCTTGTTGCCATTGCTGTGATTCTTCACGCGATACAGTGATTTGGTGAGTGAATGTTTACTCTTATTCAAACTGTTTTTGTGGCTTCTCGCAGTTTAGCACCAGGTGCTAGCTAGCTAGTGTTAGCCTAGCATTGCTGCTGCCTCTCAGGTCATGTTATTTAAAAATGAACCCCACATCTTATATAATTGGCCATGTTCGCATAGCCCTTTTTTAAAAAATATGCTTTCATAACATCATTGTGTGTGGGGTGAAGGTCAGGGCTATCCAGACTGACAAGTGGGACACCTCTCCTGTGGGGAGGGAGCCTGAGATGGTCTAAATTGGGGTCTGTTCAATAGCAAATGCAGAAAAAAATGTTTTAAGAAAGCAAATAAGTTGGTGTTCTAACAAAATCAGATTCTTTGCCTGCATGACAGCAGGAGAGATAAGTCATCCGTCACTGAAGATGGTCACCTGCAGGTTCACGCTCATTGCATCTCCAACCCAAATCCACTGCCACTGTCCTTAAGGGAAGTTAAAGACTTTCTTCTGCACTTAACATTTGGATCAACTAAATCCATGACAGTCATTCAGGTAGTAATGCCTAGACTGGAAACAAGCCATCCTTAAAATATTACTGCATACCAGCTTCTGTGTTTGAATGCAAAACAAACGTGTTTAAAACTAGAGACTGCACTTGTGACTGAACAATAAATACATTTATTTTGATTGTATAAGTAATGTAAGTACAAAACAAAGTTGTGGAAAGCCTGAAAGTAGTTTCAGAATAATTAAATCTTTGTTTCATTGTCACATTCTAACAATGATGGTAATATAATTGTTTGTTGTTAAGCAGAACAGTGTCCAGTATGTTGGCTCATATACTTTATTACATTTGAAAATAAAATTTGGGCTGATTTTAACACCATTACAAGAACTGTAGTTAATTATTCTTTTTAATCATATTTGCATTCAGTGTTATATTAATATAAAACATAATGTGATTGTAAAAAAAGAAAAAAGTAAGTTAGCACAAATAGTTTTTAATTTAGTAGCACTTTGTTTGTCCGAAAGTAAACATTTAGTACTGCACAGTCGCTGAATACTTGCAATGAATAAGTTTTCCTAACGTAGTTTTACTAAGTAAGCTTTGCTCCATTTTTATAATGTTCTGGGAACTAATTGGATTTTGCATAGAGACTCTGTTTTTATTTGATAGTGTTTGATTTTGGGGAGTGCAGACTTTCAGCTTTAACTGTTCAGGACCTGCAGATATTTAGAGGATTATGTATAGCAGGACAAAGAAAATCCATAAAAATACTTCATTTGTTAGATGTATGTTGTAGATTTGTTATTGTTATTTATGGTTCTCTGAAATACTGGCAACATTTCAAACTTGTACTGATGTACACAGTGTGGTGTCTTGGTGCATGCTCAATCATCCAGGTAAGGAAATCCCAAAAGGTTGATTCTGTTCACCTGGATGTTTTCAGTGGGAGAAACGTTTTGTCACTCATCCAGGTGACCTCTTCAGGCTCAGCTGGCTGCAGTCAGCTCCTCCCACTGAAACGTCCAGATGAACAGAATCAACCTTTTGGGATCCACAGTGTGGTACTTCAACAATTTATTATAATATTACACTTTAAGCTCAACACCCTTAGTTTTTATAATCTTCTGTTTATTTCAATGACAAATTTGTAATTTTTCTCAAAGATCCAAACTGCAGCTTCTGTTTATGATTTCCAGCCCAGTAAACAGAGCTTTGATGTTCCGTATCCCAACATGAAGATTCTCTTTCTGTTCTTAACCTCATTTAATCTAAAATTGGATAGAAAGCAGCTGTCTATTATGTGATGCACCGTCTTGGTAATAGTGTATTTCCTTCTTGTTGCTCTCACAGCAGCTTTTAAGGCACACAAAGGATCATTATGATCTATAGCTATGTTGAAAAGGAGGTAATCCTCAGAAAACACGAAGCAGCACAGCTGAAGGCTGCTGGTAATTACTCAACTCACCAGTGACTGCAAATCACGTGTTCCGGTCAGTAGTTTAGCGTGATAGCGTGGGCTTTTTCTGCTTTATGGCTCCACACTGGTTTGTGTTTCTCTATGGAGGCGTTCAATAAGCTCAAAGTCACCATGACAGTCACGCCTATGATGAGTGTGTGGAAACCTCTGAGCCAAACTGTTCCTTCTAATGAGAGCGATTTGTCAGCATATAAGCTGCAGTCGCAGTTAAACACACCAACCAAAGAAGCGGAGGTGGATAGATCCATCTTTGACAAACAAACAGTGGCTTTGATAACAAAGTCCACCTTATATATATATATATAAAGTTTGTCTCAGTTTCTCTGTCATTTAAACACATTTGGCTCTTTGGTCACATAGACTGTCAGAAAAAATAGTTTTAGATTTTGCAGTGTTAATATGCATATACCCTCATTCTTTGCATCTGAAATGATCCATAAATATGTCAGCGAAGCACACTCACACGATAACGAGGAAACACAAGACAGAGAAACACCTCTGTGACCTCTGAGCAGGTGTGAAACGCCCCTGTGTGATATTCTGGACCCTGAGCAGACGTCGTGTCCAGAGGAAAACACCGGACGTTTGGCTGAAAAACACATAACAAGGTCAGACCGGGACCCATCTCTCTCTCCATCACACACGGATAAACACCACCCTGATAGAATGTAACTCTGAGATCCTCGCTGTCAACATCAGCTAAGATGTTCTCTGGGACAGAGACGAAGCATTCCTCTTCTTCGGTTTGTTCAGTTTGATTCTCCTGAAGACAAGAAAAAAAAAACAGTTTTCATATTTTTTTAAAACATATTTCACTACAATTTTCACCAAGGTTACAGAAATAGTCTGCCAAAGAAATAGTCGCCAATATTACACAAATGATTGTGTAATATTGGCGTCTGCCACCTTTTTGACTTTATTTTATTTCCCATCTTTGAAGTGATCAGAGGTAGGTAGGTTTGGAGATCGGCTTTTCCTTAATCCATGAAAACATCATTTAAAAACTGCATTTGGTGTTGACATCATAACAGGTAAAGACGGGAGAAAATACAAGTTGTTGCTTTTGTGCATTTTAAGTCAAATAAGTAATTTGTAAACATCTCTGTCATTGGTTTGCGATGCTTTTGACCCTATGCGACCCACATCCGGTCATGGTACGACAGTGTGAAAAACTCAAATCCGACCTGGGTCCCTTTGTTATGTGGTACTGAATCCGATACATATCCGATGTTTTAGAAAGCTGCTGTTTGATGGTCATGTC